TTCTCTATTTCTTTCTTGTTTTATAACAGTATATTGATTTATTTTAGGAACGATTTTAGGCCGGGGCGCGGTAAGCTAACGCATCGAGATGGCCCGCTAATTGTAAAAGAATGACTGAAGAGCCTTAAAATCAGAACTCATCTATCATTATATAAAAAGAATAACCTTTTTATAAATTTAGAAAGTTTTTTCCGCCATAATCATTAAATATATCATAATTATAGTAATAGTTGGACAATTGTGAATAAGCACAAAAAACGGCTCCTTAATTGCAGTATTTTCTTAATTCTAGCTTGCATAATTAAATCGGCGTGCAACAACAAAAAACCGATTGGCTTTTTTTTAAACTTTCCCACAAAAGTATCAGAATTTTTGTTTTACATCTAAATCTGATTTTTTTTTCAACACAAAATCTGCTAAAAGTTAGAGATTCACGTGTACAAATTAGTTACATATTGGATTCTTATTATGAATGAATTATGAAATTAAATAAAACTGTTATTAAATAAAACCTTTTTTTGACGGCATCAATTTATATAAATTTATATAGATATTAAAAAAAATACTACCTTAATTAAAAAACATTGTTTTTTAAAATTGATTCACAACATTCATCGAAAAAAAACTGTACAATATTTTCTTGGTGTGTACAAATTAAGTTGCTAAATAATTGGAAAGAATCTCACCTTGCTAAGAATTCGAATATCATGCAACTCTTCACAATATTTAGTCCGCATTTATCCAATGTAACACATCAATTAATTGGAAAGTAAGTTGCTATATAATTGTAAAAAAAAATAAGACATTAATTAAAAACATTTTTTTTTAAAAAAATTGATTCACAACATTCATCGAATAAAAAACTGTACAATATTTTCTTAGTGTGTACAAAGTAAGTTGCTAAATAATTGAAAAGAATCCCACCTTGCTAAGAGCATCTCCAATGCTCTAATATTGTAGTAGGATAAATTTTGACAAATGTCAAAAAATTAAATAGATTGTGAACTATGTAGGACAAATGTTAAGTTCACAACTATTAAATTAAAAAATCATCTTAAATGCACAATGTAGTCAAATTACAATAATATCTATTTACCAAATATTAAAATTTTAATATGAATTAATAAAATTAATCAAATAATTAAATAGTTTAAAAATGGTAATATTAATTCTCTCTCTTCTCTTCATTGGCTAGCTATAGTGTGGAGGAGAATGTGGATGAACCACATTCTTCTCTATATTGTAAACATTAATTATGTCCACATCATCACAATATTTGTGATCACATTGTACATTGAAGGATTGAAAGTTGTGATATAAATAAATGTGTTGATATGGAATGTAATTTGCCACTACAACATTGAGCATTGGAGATGCTATAAGAATTCGAATATCATGCAACTCTTCACAATATTTAGTCCGCATTTATCCGATGTAATACATCAATTAATTGGAAAATAAGTTGCTAAATAATTGTATTTGAAGGTAAAATAATGGGATCAATTTGGTGTTGGGACATTTATAATGAAGGTAAAATAACTTATTCCAACTTGCACAATGCTTGTTTTACTTTTAGGTTTTCACAGCTCCAACTATATTTTTTTTTTTTTCATAAAGTACAACC